AAGATTTTTGGTAGTTTTGTAAGAAGAAAGTTTCAGTTTTGAAAGATGTAGTCACTAACAGTCAGATTTCCCAGGAGTTCTCTTTCTCCCCTCCAAGGCTGATCTACTAAATGAGTTCTTTCCCAGTAACATATCACATCCCTTGTTAAGAATCATTTGTATGCTTTGGTGAAAGTCAATACATGTTATGAAAGTGATTATACTGTCATTCTTATGAAGGAATGATTACCAGCATCAACTGTTTTTAAAGCATTGACCAGACTAATTAAAGCCATCATAAATGAACTTCAGATGCAGAGCTGTGCTGAAGACAACATAAAGCAGTGACAGTCGCCGACTATGATCATTTCTCTTTCTCTCACACATATTCCACCCACTCACCTCCCTCTCACTAGTTTGTGTGCATCGACTAGATGTCAGACACTCGTTAGACACTGGGGATGGAAAGAGCACATATTAGAGTCTCTGCCTTCATATTGTTTACAATCCATGATTAGCCATACAAACATACAGGGTGGGGCAAAATAGGTTTACAGTTATTCATATGGAAGATAATACAATAATTAGTAATAGTGCAAGAATAAACTGTTTTGCATACTGACAACTATTAACCAACTTTTGGCAGGCCTGTATATTTCTTTTTCCACATGGCCCATGTGGCTTTCCCTAGCTCAGGTATGAAAAATGGTTTTGCAAAGGGTCAGTAAAAGGGGAAGCTACCAGTGGGTTGGAGAACAAAGGGCAAGAAAAAAGCCTGGAGTATGTGGTTTTTTATGGAAAATGTTAACTGAGAAATCACTGTGAGGGTTAATATGCTATCACTATATCACAATATTAACCTTGCAAAATCTTAAACTCAGTGTAAATGATCAATACCAAGACAGTATTCCTTAGCCCAACCAAGTATGTATTGAGCAAAAGGGTTAAGAATGTGGGAGATAGAGAAAAGAATAACACAACCCTGGTCTTTAAGGAATTTAATGCTTAGATTCAGAAGCCATAAATTCATACAAAGACTCACAGGTCAACTCAAGTAGTGTATGAACACCAAGGGTGGCCAATACATGTGAGTCAGGAAGAGCCTCAGGGTGTGAGGATGTCTATCTGTCCTTGGAACTGGGCACGTCATCAGTCATTTGCTCTACATCAGAAAGACCTAATCATTTGTTGTGACAAGGTTATTAAGGAAAGAAATGAGGGAAAACTCTACATAGACCATATGTATGTATGTATGTATGTAGTGAAACTTAGCATGCTGGTCAACTGGCCAACCATGTTGGCAACTATCTATCATAACAGGATGAAAAGGGCCAAAGAGTTAGCCCCCACCTCTCTGGATCCTGAGGGCAGGGCTGTTCATGCTGGGGCCAGGAGGGTAACTCAATTATCCTCTAAGAACATCACCCTCAAGCTATTGGTCCTATTTTGTAAATAACCTCTTGCTAAAATAAAGTTTTCAAAAATCTCCCATTAGCAAAAAGCCATCTCGTGGCTTCCATTTTTCTCTGCTACTTTCAATCCATTAGGTAACCTAACTGATTCTACTTACAGACACAGCTCCTGATTTATGCAAGGTGCTCAGTAAATACTGGCTCCCTTCTCTCCAACTCCAACCACTGCCACATTTCATTAGCAATAATAATGAGTCATTGTTATTCAGTAACGGTGGTAAATACATCCCCTTTGTGACAGCATTTTGCCTGCTTCATATATGACAATGACATTATTCTATACAGAAAGACAATAACTTACGTTAATATTTAAAAAATTGGGTCCTAAGATTACTTTCCAGGTTATTTATAAGAATGGAAATTTGATCTTAAAAAGTACTTTAATGTTAATGAAAGATATATTTACTAACTATTCTCAAATTGTTTTTAATGCAGGGGTGAGGGGGGTGTGGCTACCTAAAATAGCAGTAGTGTTTCTAGTTATTAGTACAGTCTAGATCTTCAACAGAATGAAAGAGAATGGCAACCATGGTGAGTAATAAGGGGCCCTGGGAATGCCTATACAAAATAAAAGACACCTAATTCTGGTGGAAATATGTGAAATACTGCCATAAAGTGTACCAGAATTTTGGAGAAAAGATGACAAAGAAAATTATCTGATATTTAAAAAAGAGATGTAGCACATTTTTAAAAAATTTTGTTAACTGCAGGGGGCTAAGTGAATCCCTAACAGAATGTATTTTGAGACAACTGTATCTCTTCTCTGTGGTAGGCAGATACCACATTTACAAGGGTGAAAGAGGAAAGGAAGATTTACAAAGTGGCACTAATCTCTACTTCCTCCTTCTAGGGCCTTTCCCTCACAGAATTTAAAAAAAAAAATATGTAGATAATAAGACTTAATAGCACTATCTTATCTGAATTGTTGCTAGGTATCTTTAATAAAAAGAAAATTAGACTGTTTTATGTAATAGAACATTGACCCTTAAAACTTTCATGATAAAACCACTCCAATAAAAATGACACACTTCAAAAACTAACTTGAGTAAGTAGCCACAGAACTGCTTGGCTGTTATATTGTGGAAAAGTCATAAAGGAAAAGCTGAATGCAAGGTTAGTTGAAGCTGAGTTTAGCTATAGATATTGTTACCTAAATTGGCTAATGAGGATTATTGTGGCAACAGTAGTTCATTTTCATATGCAAATTTTAAAGGACAATTTTACTTCCTAATTTGAGTAATTAGGAGAAAAGTTAATCAGTTTGTACTAATTTTAAAAAATTAAAATTTCAGAATGTTTTTAAAAATCTTTGTTACTTTTTAGAAAATAAATAGGGATCTGGGTAAGTAAACATCTACATTTCTGAAAGTATATTAATAGATAAATTTATGTTAACTAATTCAAATTGTAGAATACTTGTTTTCTTTAAAAAATGTGTTCAGTGAGATTTAATAATTTCCTTAAGCACTTTAAACTTTCTTCTTACAAAATAGTTTACAGCATGAATTTGCAATTTTTCAAAGAGTGCGAAAGTTAACTTTTATCTACATCCCTTTGAATGATCACAGATTCCAAAGTCATCAGGATTTACTGTAGTAACTGGAACTTTCATAACCAGAACTTTCTTCTTAGAACACTACCAAATTTATTTTCTATTTCTCATGACAAATATGTTAATTTGTTTGAAAGTCTTTTGTTACTTTATAGAGTGGTGACCTTTGTCCAAATGACTGTTCGTCTGGCAGACCTGGCCTGTGTGTCCTTCGCTGGAACACAGCAATGACGCCTGTGTCTGCTCCTTCCCTCCACCTCTCCCTGCCATTTGTCACTATCTGCCTCCAGACAGCAGGCACGGCTATTTGTCTGCCCTGGCTTAATATGTAAATCCCCCCATGTACATGTAAGATAGCTGTCTCTTCTATCATGTTTGATACCTCAAATACATCCTACTATATGATGGTAAATTCTTATTTGGTTCTGGCCTTGTATCCTACATTATTTTTTAAGAAAGGTGAACTGTATCTTACAGTTTTTTATGCTTACCTTCCTACCACATGTACCTGTGTATCAATATGCAGATATATGGCTTTTAGTGGAAAAAAAAAAGATTATTCAAAAAATTTGAACTAAGGTAATCATGAATAATTCTAAACCATTGACTATCTATAGTACAATGTTCATTTATATAGTTTAAGGTGAAGTAGCAAGGAAAGTTTGTTATTTGGATTACATATACTTTCCTTACACCAAGAACAAAGGAACCTTTTTTTTTTCCTATTGAGTTAAATAAAAAGCTTTGGAGCTTTTTTTTTAATGGCAAGCTGATGAGATTAAAATAATTGCATTAATTTAATAAAGTGTCCACCAGTAATAACATATAATAGTTGAAGAATATATAGAAAATCCACTTTACCAGATAACAGAACTTTTAGTAATATATAATGAATAGAAATAAATATTTTTAATTTAATTTTGTTACAAAGGGGGAAAGAAGGGGCAGATGTGAGAAAAAGGGCTAGAGTGGATGCAACAGAAAGAAAGGGGAAAAGGAAGGTGTCAGTGAAGGCTGATACCTCCAAGTAAAGACGTACAGTTTGCAATGGGTGAATTGCAACATCACACATTACAGCTCTGGACACGTTCACATCAGTGATCATTTGTGCTCATTACAAAACCCTGGGATGTTTTCAGGTGCAGTTACACTTAAGAAATGGAGGAATTGAGGATGAGGGGTTAAACAACTTGCTTAATGTCCACATTAGGCTAGTAGCATAAATGGATTTTCAACCCAGGGATGAAGACACTGTGCCCAGTACTCTTTCTTCTACGTGGCCTTGCATCTTCAAAAGACTGAGAAGTTATATATCACTTTGCCCTTCCTTGTTCCCCTTCTTCTATTCTGTCTTGGTTCTTTTATCCCATAGCTAATTACTTTGCTCTGATAACTGTGCCTGCATTTTCCTTACTAGTACATCAAAGCACAGGTTTAATTTTTACTGTACTTACCAAATTAAGCAGCAAGCAGAAGAACTTTGCTACTGGCTTTGGTATTGACTCACACTTCATAATGTGCAGTAGATGCCATGCTGTGCACTTCTGTTTGCAATAACTCCAGGCATTTGGTGTTTTCAGTCGATGGAAACTAAGGCTGAGGCCCAGAGGTGTTGTGTTCTCCATTTCTGGTCTCTATCCTTGGTCACTGTAGCCCTAAGTGGAAGGATTAGGGTTTGAACTCTGGTTTTTCTGTCTTCAAAGCCATTGACTCTTTCATGACAAATAACTCCCTCTCTTCACCAAGGTCAGACAGCATTTTGTGTACTAATAAAATATTGAGGGTTAAAAAATAAAAAATTTGTTGGCTCTGTACCTTCATCCCACAAAGAACTTTTTAGTAAATTAATTCATGCCCTGAATTGTCATTCTATGAGGAAAGCTATCAAAGTTACTGGAAGTGTTTTCAGTCACTTTCCAAATGGAGTGATGATGTGAAGACAGAACATTTTCAGTTTATGTACTAATTAAAGCCTGTTATCTGTTCTTTGTTTATAGTATAAAGATGCCTTTATGAAAGCAAACCCTGGCTACAAATGGTGTCCTACCACAAACAAGCCTGTGAAATCCCCAACGCCCACTGTCAATCCACGAAAGAAATTATGGGCCTTCCCATCTGACTCTTCAAGAGACTTGCCAAGCCCCAAGAAAGCGAAGACTGAAGAAATGCCTCAGCTTAACTTTGGAATGGCCGGTGAGTTTAGACACTATTTCTACCTGTTCCTCAAGGACAGGGCAATACATTTAGGCAGTACTTTTCTCAAATAATCTGGAGAGAGAGAGAACCAAAACATGTGACCAATGGGAAATAATGGCAAATATAATATAGGATATCTTAAAGCTTCGGAGTGTAGCATACATGAGTATACACAATTAAAGAAAGGAGGTATAGACCAAGTGGTAGAGTCACTGTATATATTATATATGTGTGAATTCCTGACATCGGCATTATGGAAAAGCAGACAGCAATGCAGAGATGTCAGGAGCCCAGGGAATTTTGTAATGTAACAAAATTGTTTAAAGAGACATACACAGTAAGCTGTCTCAGTAAGCACCTTAGTTATTGCGAATACTTAAAAGGCCACAATTATGTAGACCATCTGAGAATGTGACACATTAAGGGTGAGAATATGAACAAGTCCATCTCAGATCTGAGATGGATCTGACAGTTGTTTCTTAGAGGAAACTCCCATTCTACCCATCTCCTGTCCCCATTTCTGTACTGGCTGAGAAAATTTAAAATTCCAGGTGGTACCGTTTATTATGGGACCTTTGATACTCTTTGGGTGGTAAGGAATGCTGAAGTATTTATAACTGAGAGATAACATACTTAAACTCATCTTGTAAATGTCTGTTTCCCCTGGCTATTGCAATGTGGTACTCAACAGAGAAATTTTCCAGGGTGAAATTGAGAGATTGGGCAGGGTGGAAGCATTGAAGTTGATATTGAACTATAGGGTTCCTATTTCATTATCACAAGCAGTTTTCTTCTAAATGAGAGCACTGAGCCATTGGTAATATGGAAAGTGAAGTTGAATAATATTGTGATGACACTTCCTTTTTTGTTTTAATAGCCAGTAGGCCAAATCGATGTACTAGTTTAGTGTATGGTGTTCATAGTATAACAATGTATGTGGTGGGTGCTGTCATATGTAAACCTAAGAAATGCATTCTAATATGATGACAGCATTCTTGGAGAATGAAGCCTTTAGGTGATTGTTATGTTAGGTGTGTAGTATGACTCTTAAGTGAGTTTCCAAAATGATACTTCTGCATATCTTAGGAGAATCAAAACAGAGATCTTTGCTTGTTTTAGCTGTCACTTTGTACAATTTTAGCTTCAAACCACTTGCTAGTAGTCTTGATGAGCATTCTGGACTTCCCAGATTCTATCAGTTGGAGTGTTTAGAAAAAAACATTATCAGGACCAAAAAAGAGTATGTGCTTCCAACTGAATTCTTTCAATTAATATTATCTTCCATTGCTTTTTCTTCCAATTTTAAATCTATGTCAGTCTGCAGGTTTTTTGCCTTCAGTATCTCCTTATAAATCAAAAATAATTGTAGATAAATTACAGAAAGCTATGAATGATGTCTGTTTATGGTGTCGTTTCTGACAGTTTATTAATCTACCTTTTATACCTACAAATTAGAAGTGGGACATAGGCTTCAGCCAAGATATTTACAGGTTAGCTTTTAAAAGCTGTGTTCTTTATAGTGAAATACAGGAAAAAAATTTTACAAAGAAACCTCTTTCTTGAATTTATCTTCTTATGTAGGGGCTTGTTGGAAATGGAAGTCTGTGATCAGAGCCCTTGTTAAGTTAGGGTATAACATGTAACATTGGTCTGATAAGTTCAATTATTTCCTTTTCTACACAATGAAAGCAAATTGATTTGCCTTTAATTAAAACATGGGCCTTAGCTATTTGAATCTAAGGTATACTGTAGGGCATTTAGGGGCCAGTTTAAGCTTTTCCTTAACATAAATCTCATGTTTTGTTTTCCCAATGGTTCTTGTCACATGACATTTTGCTGTTTTGAATAACCTCAGAGCAGTCAGTTGCATGATTTCCAAGAAGAGAAAGCTGTGTAGAATTTAATTTAGTGTAAACCCTCTTGGTGAAGGGAAAGCAAACTCTTTATATAAATTTTTGATATTTCTATATAATACTATATAAATATTAATATAAAGCATGATGATAATTTCTTGTTCTGTGTTTTAGTATCTTTACAGCAAATTTCTTCGAAAGTCACATTGGTATATAACTTAAATAAAATTATCATATAAGTGTGTTTCTATTTTACCTCATAATCTGAGCTAACAGGTTTTTGTCTTTATTGGAAAGCAATCATCCGATCCTCCTGATCTCTAAAATGGCACCTTCAAATGTGTTTAGCTGCCCAAAGAACCAAATTAAACTTTTCCATCTTGCTAAACTCATTTCCCCCTCCTGATTTTTATTTTTAAATAGGTTTAAGTATCTATTTTAACAGCCACAATAGTTCTTAACCAGCAAAAAGACTTGTTTCTTCAAATGAGCATGTTCCTACATATTCTATATGTGTGTCTTCCTTTGTGGCTACCTTTTAACATTAAGCCTTAACCACCTGACCATTTGGTGATGTATTTTCCCCTCTAATAACCTCTGCCTCTTTTTTTTTAACTGCCTCAGATTTTCTTTTCAATTTTTCAAAAAAAATTGTATAGAAAATGTGGTCAGGATTGCTTCATGAGTTCTCAAGACAGATCGTGTACAAGGATATACTTAAGGTCATACCTTTAAACAAAAATTGAAAAAAGAAAAAGAAAAGAAACCCCTGAATGTCTTGAAGCAACAGTATACCTCACCCTCACTTTGAATTGCAGACTCCTGAATTTAAAAAATTATTTAATGAGTGCCTACATGCATATGACAGGCACTGAATTAGGCATTTTCACATATATTATTTAATTGAAGTTCTGAAATTTAATTCATGTAAGATAACCTTCAGGAATATAGGTTTCTAATTGTAGTACTTTCTTTATTTATATATAACCTGGGTCATAGATCTACCATTTTGCTGTTTTTATTTTGTTTTGCTGTTTCTGTTGATTATTGAAGAAAAGAACAAAGACCTTTGGTGATATAAAAAGGATTCATTCTAAGAGGGCCTGACTATACCCCTAAGATTTAGTATGTCAAAAAGACATCATTGTTAATTTTAAGTTTTAAAGAAAGATTATTTGAACAAACCCTACTAGATTTTGCAGTCCCATTTTTAAAATTTTTCTCTGTTCTCTAGTTTCTGATAGCCTGGTTCTTTTTATCAGCCTGATTTTAAATAGCAGAGACAACAATTTGAGGATAACAATCTCAAACTTCTTAGAAGATAAGTATAAGCACTCTTCTGTTTAAAAAAAAAAAAGAAACCCATCTATACCCTCCATGCAGTAAGGAAAGAAACACCACGTAAAGGAGATCATTCGGTTATAAACAGCTGTGGTGTTGAAGGAGGTATTATGTTGGAATGGCAGGACAACAGTGGTATTTAAAGTGCCGATAGAAGTTGAGTGCTAAGTACATATATGCCAAGCATAAAGAGTTTTGAAAAGTTTTCTATAGAAAGCTATATGTGGTTCTGTTGGATTTCTGAAGGCTACTATTTGAGTTTTCTTTTTTTACTCTGTATCGATTATACGTACTTCGTGATTGTAAATTGATGATTTGTTTGTTTTTGACTTAGATCCTACTCAAATGGGAGGACTGAGCATGCTTCTTTTAGCTGGAGAACACGCCCTTGGCACATCAGAGGTGAGTCAGTTCCTCATTCCTCTCCATTCTGCTCATGCAGACATTTGTATTCTGTTCACACTGTTGGTTCTGCACACACTGTTTGCAGCTCATGAACAGACTTTACTTTTGTTTTCATTAAGTTCTGTATGTGCATTATATTTTGCCTTGGGGATAACAGAAGTGGTGTAAATGAGCCCAAGAGGAAACAACGACAAGTGAGGTGCAAATTTTGAGGGTCCATGAGCTGAGGAGTAAGAAATGCCACGTACAGATCCTTTGACTTTCTCCTGGGTCTGTGGAGTGGGTCCTGTGATTCATTCAGCCCTATTCATAACATCCCCTACTTTTGTGATGTTCTCATTCAGACTTGCTAGGGATGAGGTGTTTTAAAGCATGAAACTGTCCGTCTCTCTGGTACCTGAATAAATCCAAACTTACATTTTAAAAAATCAAGAGGCATGGCATTCCAGGTTGTTTTATTCTTTAAAATGGAAAATGAAAAGGACTGAGGCCTTCATGACCTTGGTTTTATGGTCTTTTACTCCCTGTATAGTTATCAGTCTGCTTATGCTAAACATTTTTAGGCATGGTTTTGATGTGCAGATAGTAGCACTTAACCATGCATAGTTTGCATTTGTGGAATTCTTCTTTTTGCCAGACTCATTTAACAGAGACCAGATGAATTAACCTGAAGGTCATGTTATTTTACCATACTCGGGAACTGGGGATGGAAATTTTTTAGTTCCCCACCAGAATTGCTATGTAGGGCAAAGTAGCAGTCAGCTCAATTTTATTTCATTTCTTTTACTTTCTTTTTTTTAATTGTGAGTGTGTCATACAGATGACAGTTGAAGCCTGTTCAAATAGGGATTTTAGAAGATACCATATAAGATTTTTTATATCACAAAAGCCTTTTATTGTAAATAGTTTACATTTGGGATCCATAGTAGTTGATCAAATGTTCAGTTTAACTTATTTTGATTTCATTCAATTCAGTGGAGGAAAAACTAAGTTGGTGGACTGGTAGTTATTTTACATTGTACTAATGTTCAGCTGAAAAAAAGTAAATATGTGACTATGTTCCTCTTCGTACTTATTCAGCATGTTTGACTTCCTAACATAATAGTGTTTTTGAGCATCATTTCACTTTCTAACGCATGGCTTCTACCTAATAGCAATCAGATTAACTCTCACTTGAATGTCGATACCCCAAGCGTGTCCTAAAAGGTGAATGCGAATGTTGGAATAATAATGCACACTTGACCTTTCAACACAGACTGACTCATAATTTCCAGCCAAGCATTGTATTTTGAAAGTCAGCATCATCTTTTCTAGCAGATTAGATCACAATGATGTTTTTCTTCCCAACATCTGTTAACATTCTTTCTAACTTTCAGAAACAAATGTAAACCGATAAACATCTATAGAACTTATAGATAGATAAAAATGCTAGTTAAACAAAAGAATGCTTTTTTCCCTTTGCTCAAAGTTTGACTCCTGGACTCTTTTTAGTGAGAATTTGTCCTCACTTTTAAAAACAGCAGCGTTCTGACATGAGCAGTGTTCAACGTTTTGTTTCTGAAGAAGAAGGGGACGCCATTTTGAGAATTCTCAAGCTACAGAAACAAAGCTAAATGACTTTAAGAAGTGAATTGTATAGAAGAGAATCAGCTAAGGAAGAAGTTGCCAGAAGTTAGGTCTTTAACAACGTTTTTATACCCACTTGCTCTTTCAGATGATTTATTTCTTGTTGCTTTAGAAAAGAAAGTACTTAATAAGGTGACAAGATAATATACATTCAGTGCAATCATATGATGGGGGAGTGAGGAATGGAAAAATGACACAAACTAAGGTTATTAATAAGAAAGATCCTTAGGCATAAGTAGAAAAAATAATTTTGAACAACTGCTGCTTTTATAAGAGAAAAAAGCCATTTCTGGTCACTTTTGTTTCTTACCATTTTGGGTGGGACGTTTGAGATGTTTATCAAAATAAAGTTAGCTTTTGACAATCTAAATTAAAACCATTGTCCATTTTAGCTGGAACTGCCCATCCTGCCCAGCCTCATCAGCACTGAGGCTTAGAGCCCAGAGGATCAAGTCTTTTTACCCAACTTGATTGGCAGTCATCTCCCAGGCTACACGGCTCAAGACAGTGATGAACTTGCATGAGCTCCTCAGTACTCCAGACATGGGTCCAAGGGATAGAAGTTGTTTGTAGAAGTAGCCTATAGTCTGTGCTGCACTTCCATACTAGTGCTCTGCCACACAGCTTATAATAATAGTAGAGCTTTACTCCCAATGTGAAATCAGTAGTCTGGTGCCCTGGGTAAAACCAGGGACTTTTACTTTCAGCCAGGTGATTTGACTTGTATTCTAATTTGGGGATTGCTCAGTTCTGTGCAATGTTTTTTGGTTATGCTGTCTGGGATATCCAACCTGGTACCCTCTCAGCTGTAGCTCCATCCTGGTATCAGCCAGACAAGTGCGGTGTTTTAGTACCAGGTTCTCTTTAACCTAATTTAGGTTTAATTAAGAGTGGCTTTATTGTAGTCCTTAAAAACGTTTTGAAGGATTATCTTGGATGTAATATGCTTAGATTTAATTCAGCTGTGTTTAAGATCAAGTCCATTTTAGAGCTTCATTTAACATCTCATATTAAATGCAAATAAATTATCACTCAGATACTCTGAAGGACACCTGGCAAAAGCCACCAGTTGTATGAAAGGCTGGGTCAGACTGAATGAGGGTGAAAATCAGATCATTGGATGTTGGAGTTACGCGCAGGATCTTTACACTTGAACTCTGAAATGGAACCCTCTGTCCCCAAACCCTCTCCTCCCACAGCAGACAAGCCCATACCCCATCTACCTCAAAACCTTCTTCCTTCTCTCAAATTTCCTCTTTTAGTGTAAGGCTTTAACTCACCTTAGAAACACTGGCCCTATCTGACCTCTCTTCCTTTTCCTTAGCTCTGACATCTTTCTAGACAATTACTGAGGCCTCGAAAATACCATCTGTGATTTAATTGAGGCCCCACATCTCAGCTGGTTTATTTCCTTAACCTTGTAATTGGTCTCTTGCCTCCAGTCACTCCCCAGCCAAGGTCATCTTGCACTTCACTGACAGAATTATCTTTCTGCACATCTCTCATTATGCAGCTCCTGTGACTAGAAACCTTGGCTGGCTCCCCATTACCTTCAGCTTACTTTTCATACTTAACATAGAATTCAGATCCTCTCAGTCTGATTCATCTCCCATTACATTCTCAGCCATCTTAACCTTCAGCCACACTGGGAAAGTCACTGTTTCTCACACATGGAACACTTGCCTTCATACTTTTCCTCCTGTTGTTACCACATCATTTTTACAATGTAGGTAACATATCTCAAATGTGACTTATCTTTTTCTAACCCATCCCCAAAAAGAACGGAGGCCACTTTGCTGTCTTCCCACAGACTTTGTAATATTCCACCATTATGCATTTACATTCTTACATGTGTAGCTCCCTCCTGCATTTGAACAGCAAACAATTTAAGGACCAAACACATTCCCTTAGTCTTATTTTATTCCCCAGTGGAATGTAAGCTTCTTGAAGGCAGCAGTCTTTGGGCTGACAACTCAATAAATACTTGAATTAGCAAAGGCAGGAATGTGTGATTCAGACACAGCCTTACCCTTTTTGTTGATTGTGTCATCACAATCCAACTGTGAGTGGCTGTGGTCTTGTATCTTGTGAAGTAGGAACAGACCCTTGATAATACATAGCTTTCCAAAGCACTTGTGATACATTTGACTGGTGTGATCTTATTTTATATCAGGGGCCTAGGTCGTGTTTATCTGTATATGGTTTTCAAGATCTGAATTATATCTGTGGGGAAAAAATACTACTTCATCATAATTCTTAATTATACTAATCATTCCTCTTCCTTGGTTATTGTGAATTATAGCTAAATCAAAGGGAAGATTGGATTTAAAGGAAGTTGAGTATGTGGTTAACTTTGCTTTTGAAATCACTGTAGCTGTTTTCTTTCTTGGGTATATAGCTACCTCTAGTGGCTTTATGCGTTATTTCAGACTCTTTGTAGAAACAGCTTATTGGGGGTTTTCCTCCCTTTATTTAACCTCTGTTTATTCAGTATCTATTTTTTTCTCAGAATTAATGAACATGTACCTTAGACTCTTTATATTCTGTTATGTTCAGCATAGGAATGGATATTGGGGAATTGATGTTTATCCATAAAAAGCATGCTTCACCTGATAAGTAATTCAGAGTATTGTAAATAGAAACAGAAAGGTGACAAAACCAAGGATCCTCTGACTACTAACATTACTTAAATAGGAACCTTTTGTAGGAAATATTCTATTCACTTTGTGTGGATCTAACCCTGGATTTCTTTACCAAATGTGTGTGCATATTATACATGCACAAATATTCACCTTACATTGGATGCCTTATTTATCAAGCACTGAAGAATGAAGTCTACATACATACATCTTCCATGCCATTGAACCATTGTTACATTTTGAGATTTTAGATGGAAAAACATCTAGCATGTATCACATGCATTTCTGCCTTTTAATAACATGTATTTTATAATTCTTATCCTGACAACTTCGAATCACAGTTACAAATATTAATTACTGTAGTGAACTGATGCCTTCAGGAGAAACTTATGGGCCATTTGCCCTACTTTAATTTCTGTTTGCTAGATCACAATGCTTTCTGAGCATTTTGTCTATTCTTTTTGGCTTTTCTTGTTACCTTGTGTCTTCTTGCTGCTGGCACTGTTTTTTTCTCAATCTTCCTTTTTCTTAACCCCACTCATGGCCCCGTCTGATTTTCTACTTCTGTTCTTCTGTAGACTGGAGAGTCAAGTGATCACATAGTTGGAGCACAATTCTCCTGGCTACTAATTGTTCTGTCTTTCTGTTTTGTGGCACTGAAGATATATGTTAAATCCACACTGCTTTAATGTAAGAGTAACTAGATTTTTTAGTGAGGACATTGTCCACTAGAATAAAACGTATAGCCTTAGTGATTCTCTTACTGTTGTTTTAACCATTGGATAGCCTTTGTTGTTAGACTCTTCAACAAAGAGTCTAACAACAAAGATTCTCTGTGTCTGTATTCACACACACAGAGAATCAAATCAGCCAACAGATACTCGTGGATCCGCTGTGCATCCAGGTGCACAGTGAGCACAAGCACACATGCATAGACTTCGATTGCATAGTGCAATTGACATAACATGTGCAGGATTATGCATACCTTGATGATTATTTACATTTGATTCTATTAAGACAAAAGTTTTATTTAAGACCATCAGAACAATTTGCAGAGAGTCTTATTTAACTTTAAGACTGCTTGGGCTTGTATAATTGTGGCCAAATAGTCTGTAAATGCCATTTGGAAGAGAATGGACTTTCCTTCTTATAATTAATATGAACTCTAATTAAGCCATTGGGTAATTTAACTTCTTATAAATGGTAACTACTTTTCATGCATCATGGGCTCTGAAATAAAAATATGTATTATATAACCCTGGCTGATACAGCTCAGTGGATTGAGTCTTGGTCTGTAAACCAAAGGGTCACTGGTTCGATTCCAAGTCAGGGCACATTCCTGGCTTGCTGGCCAGATCTCCAGTAGGGGGCGTGTGAAAGGCAACTGCACATTGATGTTTTTCTCCCTCTCTTTCTCCTTCCTTTCCACTCTCTCTAAAAATAAATAAATAAAATCTTGTTTAAAAATTCTCTATTTAAAAAAGTTAAAATATATATTATGTAGGCTTTATGCAGTATATATAGCTACTTTAAATGATAACATTTACTTTGATTTTTTTCCTAAATTTATATCATGGCTATAACTAACATTATTAAAATTTCATAAAGACACTTTATAATTTTCGCTTATTCTTACACTTGGTTTTAAGTCAAATCTTGATAATTTGCCAAGATACCTAGGGGCTAAAGACACGGGATTTCTTTATAAACCAGGACAGTATTGATTTTTTCCATTATTCCTAAACTATAATGCAAAGATATATTTTGCTCAAGTACTTATTCTAATAAGGAATTTTGGTGGCTTTCCATTTCAGGATTTGCTGGCCACCTTTATAGTATGTTTTATGTTGGAGAGCAAATAAAAACACTATTGGGCCATTAGACAGACAACTTGTCAAATAGTCAAGTACCAGTGAGGGAGTCAAGCTAACCGCAGGTGGCAAATGAATTGAAGCTTTGTACCTTCTCTGTGAAACTTTTCTCTGAGAGAAGGTGGCCATTACTCTTTGAAATACAAAAGTGACTATTAAAATTTAAAATCCTTACCCTTTCTTAAGGGGCTGTGACATGTTTTCAGAATCACATCTTCAGTATCTAATGAAGAGGTTCAGTGAGACACTTTACAAGAATATAACCTGGGTGACTGTGAGTTCTTTGCATTGGATTCAGCCATTGAATATAATCACTAGCAGCTATTAAAATTACATCAGAAAAGGCTTAATGACACAGGATAATTCATGTATTTTTTTAGAACAACATTTTATAACTTTAATATAGTATCTCATTTTTATTGAAAATGTCTATGTACACAACTGGAAGACTATACATGGAATATGACAATGCTTATCTTTAGGAAATAACATTGTAGATGATTTTCCCGCTGTGTGTGTGTGTTTTTTAAAGAATTTCACAACGGACTTGGATAGTCCCTTGTCAGAAATATTCATGGTGACATGACATATTGGAGAAACACAGAACATGAAAGAAGTAGATAAGTCTTTGGATCGGTGGCAGAAAGCCATGAGATCAAATAGGCATCACTATAGAAATTTTTCCTGAGTGACTATTAACTTTCTAAAATGCATTGTGTTGCTCATCTGCCATTTATGGCATTATTTACAATCAGATGGCCCCTTGTATATAACTACTTTTTTGTCACAGTATTGCCTCAAATTGGGACAATCAAAGCCATTCATTCTTCAAATAGGAGTGCTTTAGGTGGCACGCATCTTCTGTTGTAGCCCAGAAGCTGTTCCCTGTGACGCTTCATGCTGTCTCTGTCTGTTTCAGGTATCCTCCAGCACCTGCAGGCCCGATGCCTCAGAGTCCCCTGAGTTGCGTCAGAAGTCACCGTTATTTCAGTTTGCTGAGGTAATATAGTGCAGTTTATACTTAATAAGGAATTTGTAAAATGAGCTTAAATTTAAGCTAGTGACAGTAACTTAAAGCAATGAAGAACTCTGCTTAGCTCAATTAACCATAAATGGAAAAATAGAATCAAAATCTTTAAAAGATATTTTGGAACTCCAGAGTCTTTTTTTTTTTTCATGATGTCAGGTGGATGAAAAACATATACACAACCTTTATATGTCCTTATATTGACTGATTTTTTTGTATTTTTACTGGAGTTTATTTTATTTACATTGAATACAATACTTGTATATTTGGACTAATTTTGACCATTCCAATGTCTACTATTTGTCCTAATATATCTTAATGTCATTTTCCTTTTATTGTGATTTTTTTTATGTTCAGAGTCTCTTAAGGAATAACTATATGTTTATAAAAGCTCATTATTAAATCATGCTGAATATTAGTACACTTAAGCCTTTTTATTCATGGATAGTAAAATTAAAAATTGAATTATTGTTAGAACTTAGTCACTTATCAGATGTTAAAGCAGAAGATAGAAGCAGCTCATGGTTGTTCATTGGTTGTGTGTTTTTTGTTTGTTTTTTAGTACACTTTTCATTGAAACTTTAGCATGCAGCAGCAGTTTTGGAAGTCTAGTAAGACTGTCTTTTGTCTTTTGCCAAACCTGTTGGGCTCCACACTTCTCTAATGTTAGTTAAAAGAGATGATGTAGAAAAGAGATGATGGTAGCAAGTATAAAGGTTAAGACTGCTTCTCTAAATATCCTTGTTTACTCTAGAACTCAATATGGAGTCATCATTGATTAATTTTTTTCTGAACTTGAAAGCACATTGTCTTCCCTTGCTCACTTGAATTGTCTTTCACAAGACCTTCTCACACATTGCACCTTCCTAACATTTCCTTGTTGTGTAACAGTTTTATACAAGGAGAGTGTATTTTTAGTTTCAGATTTTTTTCCCTCTCTAGTGTCTTTTCCTAGTGGTTCTCAACATTTTTATTGGCAAACTGCTTTTTACAGTGGCCATTGCTTTTAAGACACTGTTTATAATATGCCTAAATGCCCTGCAGATAGTATAGGAATGTTATATATTTGCTAACATAATACTTATCTGTTGCTTTCCTTTCTGCCTTTTTGTGAGACGTGCCATGAATTCCAATTATTTTGTATTTGTTTCTTAAAGCATTAATGTAATAGAAGATTCACTCTGTACTCCTTTTTCTCCAGTAGTTATAGACATGTTAAATAATACTGATCCCAGCTTTGAAAGCAGAGATGCTTACCCATTGATCTCTGAAACCCTAAGGATCTAATGAAATCTCTAAATTTTACATGAAGTGTGGTTGGATTGGCATATGTGCATTTTTGTGGGTTCTACAGCATATGGAAGATTCCAAAGAGATTTTCTGACCCTGTTGTTTTGTATAAAGGGTCCCTGATCTAATAATATTTCTTCAGGAACTCCCTACTCTTGTCATTAACTGAGTATCTTCTTTATCCAAATATTAACATGTAAAACATCCTTTTCTTGAGAAACTAGTGAAATTCTTTACAAAAATCAAGATGGCGTATGCCACTGGTTCATTTTGTTCACTGTCCGATTTAAGCCTTGAAGAAAGACATTTTTCCATACGTAAACTATTTTCTCAGTCTTTTAGGGAGGGACAGTTGGTAGGAATGAAGAGTGGTGACTGAAATAAGATCTACCCAGTTTACAATTCCTGGGACTTCAGGAAAACCCTTGCGGGTTCATATTTACAGTCCGTCATGACTTGCACATGGTGGTCTTTTGAAATGATAGGTTTCACGGTTTGACTAAGAAGAGGTCTACAGTTTTGTCCCCAAATGTCCTCATTGTCTTCAGAGCACTTGGTTAAATCTTAACCATTTATAATAGTTTGTTTATATTTAGTTTGTTAAAAGACTGTGGGGATCTTTTTTATTTATACTGATATTTATTCTAAACATGTGTCCATGTCTGGTCCTGACTGGTGTGGCAGAGTGGTTGGGCATCATTCTGCAAAACAAAAGGCTGTGGTTCAATGCCTGCTCAAGGCACATGCCTGGGTTGCAGGTTCAGTTGGGGCACATATGAGAGACAACCAATTGATGTTTCTTGCATCAAATTGTTTCTCATCTTCTTTCTCCTTCCCTTCCTCTCTAAAAGATAAATAAATAAAAAGGCTCATATGTCTGATTCAGAACTTACAGCAGAACTAAAATTTTTCTGATGGCTTCAGCAGTGAATAAAGTCAGTGATTCCATCACTCTCTCTTATCTCTAAATATTCTTTGATACTCTATCACAGACTAGTTTCATTGTTTTTCTAACCAGTGTAATTTAATTGAGATTAAAAAGTGATTTTTGTGGTTGAGTTATGATTAAGGTGCATTTTTTGTTTAATAAATACCCTTTGATGAAGTTGGTGACCAGAGTTAATTAAAGAAAAAGACTTTTATTACATCTGAAATGGGCTGAATTTACATTGTCCGGGCTTTCTGCTTTTGTGACTCCCTTTCACCCTATATTGTAGCTAGACAGGAGCTTGTTCACTTTGGAACCAAAATTAATAATTGACCTTGCTCTCAATTCTCAGAAAGTTTTTCCGCATGGCCCTCAGAGCAAATTAATGAGGCTACCATAATTACCAAGTGAAAACAAAAGGTCTCCTAGATAAACCCAGTGTGGTGTGGCAGAACCCTCTGTCCACTGTCAGAAAGCTGAAGGGTGTGTGTTCATGCATGAGCGTGATGGTATAAAAGAAAGAAATGCTGTATATATTCAGTGAGCAGTTTACTGAGTTCCAGTGCCATGGCTTATTTTCTCCTCACCATAATACTGTAAAATGGAGATTATCATCACCATTATCAATTTTGGGAAAAATAAGTGTCAGATTAGTTAAGCTGCCCAAGGTCATGTAGCTAGTGAGGAACGGATCCAAGATTCAATTCCAGATACCCTGACCCACATCCACATGCTTCTCCAGTATTGCTTCACAACTGTCTCTAAGCAGAGAACAGCTTGGGAAGAAGGGGGGCAGTGGTAAAGGGAAGCAAGACAGTGAGTGACTTTACTTGCACCTTCCAGCTTTTAATAACATTTTAAGAAATTCATTGAAATAAAGAAATTCACTTCAACAGGTCTCAACTGCTATTTGACACATACCTCATACCCTTACAAGAGACATGGCAAATGATCCAAACTCAGTCTTTTTGTTCTTTTCAATCATCTGCTTTTAGAAACATGGTCTTTGCCTTCCTTTATCATTTATACTGTTCTTCTGAAAGGGTTTGCGTATGACTCATGTCTTAATCTTTATCTGTGTCTACAGTGGAAATGTATGGCAAAGTCTATTAGTTTGATATGGGGAAATGTCCTTGTGCATTAAAAATTACCTGTTTCTTTTCAGATATCTTCAAGTACATCCCACCCCGATACTCCTTCAAAACAGTGTCAAGCATCAGCCTTGTTTCAGTTTGCAGAGGTATGGCCTTCTTTTTTTAAATATTTATTGGGCTCAGAAAACTTAGAGCTCAGAAAATACTGGAATGAAGTTTTAATAGCACGAAGTGAACTTTTGGTATGCCTCTTGCCATTCCTGACATAATACACATTTGCTGTCTTTGCTATAATCATAGTCAGATTTTATATACATTTTATAGCCATCTATTGAAGAGTTCATTTAGGATAAACACTTTTCAGTAATTCTTTATTTCATTTTTGCCTTGTTTTAATTTATTTTTGTGGCTTAGAAAAACTGCTGTCAATAGGAAGTCCATAGGATCCCAATTTATTAAATTTTTCCAATAGTGAGATTATATGCTGTAATTCATGAATAACTCTCACCGCAAATGCAGCGGTGAATCTGATCTGTTAAATCATCAGTGCTTAGCTTTCGCTGTGGTGTAGTTTCAGCCAGTATTTCTATTAGTGTTTAATCCCAGGTTTAGGTAAGGTCAGTTCTTTCAGCATCTCAGATTTCTTTGGTTTGTCAGCCAGAGAGAGCACACTCTAGAGAGCATTTTTTTTTTTGGTTAGAATGATGAGGAGGCAAATCTGATACACTTGATTTTGCCACAAAGCCCTGGCTTCCACTATAGGCTCATTTCTAGTGAGCACTATATGACAGATAATAAACTGTATATAGTTCTTGAAAGTAAAATGCTCTCTACTTTAGATCTTCCCCCCTTTTCCTTTTTATTAATTTCAGCAAAAAAAATGCATCTCATAAACTAAGCAGTTTTGTATAGGGTTGAGAGAAAGTGACAAGAGGGACTGTTCTTTTTTTTTTTTTTTTTTTTTGGGACTGTTCTGTTTAATATTGATGTATTGAATCGCTCTGATTCATTGAATAAAAAGTCTGCATAAATGAAATATAAAATGATGTCCTTTTGGCAGGAGAAAACCCAACATCTTACCTCGAAAATGAGGAAAAATAACTTTAAGCCCTCACATTAAAAAAAAATGCTGCTTCCTCTTGGGACAGCTGTGCCAAACACTGCGACTTGATGCCCCCAGCTGGCTTGCGTATCTGGTAGGCCTCACTGCTACAGGGTTTGTTTGGCTCTGCTATGAAAGCAGTAAAAACAGTATAAAGTGGTATCATTTCATGAAGAACAATTTGCTTGATGAATCTGAATAAATTAAGATTTTATTATAATTTTTCATTATGATAAATGGCATTTTCACTGTTTGGGGAAATAGTTTTGTTTAATATTTCCTTGCTTTCCCCCAGTTGTTGACATCCATTTATTTGATACTAATACCTTTTTCAAGAGTTAAAAATGAATTTAGCATGGTAACTAAATTTATCTTTAATCTTGATACCTGAGCCAATGACATCCAACTTTTTAGAAACACTTACTTCAAAACAGAATGTATTTGCCATATATTCTGTTTAATTAAATTCTGCACTCTAGCATTAATTTTAGAAAGGCAGTGGCTCATCTTTGACACACCTCATATTTACATAACTACCAAGAGTATTCAACTTAATTTAAAACGTGAGTCTGAGATAGCCCAGTGGCTGCCGGTGCATTTCTAACAGCTGTCACCACCCACATGATTGGCGTTCAAGCAAAACCATCATCAGATTTATTAGGGGCTCCCGAAGCCCTGGGCAACTCTGAAGGTTTGATGGTAAAACAGCCTCTGTCCCATGATTATGGAGGATGAGGTTTTGTGCCTCCCTTAAACAAATTAATTTGTCCTTACTGCTCAGCGTACTCATTCCTCAAAGCACAAGGAGTTTGTTGCTGTTTTTACCGTCTAGGTAAGAAAAGAACTTCTGACTTGGGAGTTGTACAAGAGGCATTTCCACACGTCACCCCTCTACTTAATAGTATCATCTCCCAGGGGCTTCTGGTTTTTGACCATGGGACTGTGGATGACTTGAGGAAGCTTAAAAAAGTAGTTGACTTGGAAACTTACTAGTTGTTGTTTCAGGGAATTGTAACAGAGGAAGACACGCATGACGGAAAAACTAAAATAAAATGTTTTGCCCTAAATTCAAAAACAATTCTTCCTCCCAACTCTGAATATTGTTTGTACTATTATATTTTGGGCAGTTTGATATGAGCCTTTTAATTCCTAAACAAATTATTATGTTCCTTGTTATTGATCTGTAAATGTTGTATATTATAAAGAGAAGTACCATATTTTTAGACCATAAGACACACCTAGGTTTTAGAGGAGGAAAGTAGAGAAAAAAATTTTGAAGCAATAAATGTCGTAAAATATTTAATAACATAAATAACATAATATTTCATCAATGTAAATGTAAACAGAACTCAGCAGCAGCATTAACAACCATTATTCCTCCCAAATTTGTGGGAGGTAGGGGCCGGGGAGAGGGGTGCATCTTATAGTCTGAAAAATGTGGGTAGTGGATTCCAATATATGCCCTCCTGGGTCACTTTTCAGCTGACCCAAGAGAACCCTGAGTAAAGTTCAGTCTCATAACATTTTTTGAGTTGACCTTATTGTCAGGCTAATACTGGGCTGGTTTATTTAAAACTAAATAAGACCTAATTGGATGAACTAATAGAATTACCTACTAAAAGTGGCTATGAACATATATATACATTGCAGAAACAGAATAGGCTGTAATTACTGTGATCGTATTCCTAAAGCTCTTATAATTACTTCATAAGACACCCATCACCTTTGAGAAAACACAAAGACTCTAGAAATTCTTGTTTTAATTAGTCTTTATAGAGGTTCTCAAACTTTAAATAACAGCAGGGTCTCCCTGAAGTCTTATTCAAACACAGATTGTGGAGCCCCGCCCCCAGAGTTTTTGATTTACTGAGTCTGGAGCGGGTCTTGAGAATTTGCATTTCTAAAAAGTCTCCTGTCAGGAAACAAGAGTTAGAGACCACTCTTCTGTAGTTTACAATTTTTACCACAAGTGGTTCATTCATCATTTTTAAGGCAGTTCCTAGTGTCTCTGGGACTGTATAGGGAAAAGATGAAGTGGGGAAGCAATGGACATGTAACAGAAAATTTCCCAGTGGGCCACTTTTTACCCCTGTCCCTTTTCAGAGGGATTCTCAGTCCTATTCTATATACATGGAGGAAATAACGTTTTTCTTTTTTAATATAATTTAGTAAACAATTTACTCTTTTAAAATGTTTAGCTATAATATCATTTTAATATCAGGCTTGCAAAATTCTCAGAGACCATTGCTGCTAATTTAATTTACAAATGGTGGTAACTCCAGGAAGAGATTAGCTAGATCTCCCCTTGGCCATGGGTCATTTATTGCGCAATGTCATTGTCCTAGAAACACACCTTTTAAGAAACTCTTGAGCCTTGGGCATTTCTTTAAATTGAAAATGTTTTTCTTTCACATTGAGTCCTAATTCTCTGCCTTGCAAGATGAAGAGGATGTTTTCCCTTCTTAACCAAATCTAGTAAGTTTTAATATTTATCAAAGTTAACCTGTATGGAACCATGATACTGAATAAAGAACATTTTTGTTTGTAGATTCCTCATGAATGCTTACATTTAAAGGGAGAAAGTATGTCAGCTTGATAAGATCTAGAAATATACAGTGCAGAACCTGCTTGCCTGCTCTCCCCCACTCCCCGCCCCGCCATGTCAGCCTGTCTCCCATTCCTTATTGAAACTCACATTTCATCCAGATTCATCCGGGCCCATCTGAAGCACCATCACTCTGTTCCAGGCCCCTATTCATTAGGTTGGTTAGAATGAGTTTTTTATCTGCATCTTTTGTTGTTTACAGGTAGACTAACACATCCGTCACTTTTTAGATCTCATTTACTGAAGACTAATAACTGAAAGTGATGCCAGAAGGGAGCTCTTGTCTTCCATTATTTAACATATTTTCTTCTCTGCTCTGTGGCTGACTCTTAACCCAGAGCATACCTTTGCGTTGAAAAATTACACATTTACTTTGAAGGTAGAGGGCTAATCTGGATGATTCAGACAAATAAGCAAATTTAAGTCATTGACACAAGTGAATATAAGAAATAGGTGCAAATTTAAGGCATTTGTTTTCATGATAAAATACTCAATGTGTTACAGAATATTACACTAAAAAACCCCACCATATACTCACACTGCAGTTAATCAGTGTGAGTTATTATGTGTTTTATTGGAAACATTAATATTTCTTTTAAGGTAAGGTAGAGTAGTCCTCTCACATTATTCATTTGTTCTTTGATTCACTTATTTATTCAATTATTATTGGCCATTTCCTCCCAGGGTATGATGTTTATGAGACCCTTTATAATTGCAGAAGACTTCACCATCACCTAATTTGGTTTTGATCTTTAGCACCTGTTTCCTTACTGTGCTGTCCTGCCTCAGACTAACTATAAAACTAGCAGATTAACATTCACAGTGAGAGTTTTTCTTGCACTTTCACTATACTTCACATACTATTACACCAGACCTTTTTTATCAAAACATTCATAGTAACCAGAGGAGAGACTACATTGGAGTCAACAGATTGTCAAGCATCCTCAATTCCAGGGAAATAAAAAGCAAAGCCACAAACATACTGTTCAGTATGGCCCACTAGTGCCCTCTACCCAGGAGTGTAACATAACATGCATGTCTGCCTTCAGCTGACCAGTCATTGAAAAACATATATTAACTATATTGTTCTTACTTGAAAGGATGCATGTATCTTAAATGGAAAAATGGGGGGAGGGCAAGAATGAACAGTGGTATAACAAATGGGCATTGCACAAACTATGCTTATAATTGAAGCTGTCATAGTACATGAGATCATTAGAGAAAAATGTACAAATAAAAAGAGGGGTGTTAAGGTGAAACTCTGAGGAAAACTATTTAAGGGATCACTATAGAAAGGAGAGCCAGCAAAGGAGAACAAGGAGTGGCCTGAGGGGTAGGAGGAAAACAAGGACCCTGCAGTAATAAAAGCCCAGAGAAGAGTCCTCCAGAAGGAGGGTCAGCTCTGTGGGATGCTCCAGAGAAGTCAAGATAAAGCTCAAGCCACGGACATTGACATACGTTCGTTTTTTTTAGCTCTCACCCCAATTAATAAACCAACAACTCCTAGAAAGCATATTGTGTCATGAAGATATTCTATGAAAATTTTATGGTTATGTAAATTTTGAGCTAAAATACATAGATCCTTCCCTACATACACATGCCCCTTTGGAGATCAGGTTTCTACCAACATTGAGCATTTAAAACACTGCCCTATACCTAAAAATAGATAAAAATCCTCCCATGGGCAGTGAGAAAAATTGTTCTTATTAAACATTGGTGATTTCTTTTGAAAGGCAAAGAACCATTCTCAAGCCCTGACTCAGCCGAGCTTAAACTCAGGTGGCAGTGAATACATCCACTGCATTAGGCATGGGATATATGGAAGTAAACAAACGACAGAATCCGGGAGCGTAGGAGTCAACCTACGGCAGCAAAAATGACAGCAGAGGGAGCCAGTGAAGAATAGAAACAGTGTCTTGGGCTATCAGTGCAGCACTATACCCAGCTTGCCCTTCAGTAATTCTTGAGAGTATTGTATAGTTATGTGACAGATTTAACATTCTACTAATTAATAAGTAATAATTCTCCTCTGACATTACAGTGTTTTATTGTTCCATTTTTCAGTATGTAGCTAATTTTTGGAATTGTAGTAAAAGAGTCTGTGTTAGTGTTAATAATGATAGATCCTTGTTACTAATAAATGCATCCTTTATTGAAAGCATAATATTGGCTTAGCACTGTGCCAAACTCTTCATTAACATAAAATCTAATATTCACAACATAATATGGGGTGGGTGTCATTGTTCTATTTTGAAGATGAGATAAATGAGGCTCAAAGTCTTAATTATTTGTTGAAGTTCACACAGAAGAAAGTTAATGAAGGCACATCTGTCTGACACAGCCATGTTTTTTCTATTATACAACTTTGGTTCAAGGGCCTGGCATTCATCTTTGGCTCTTCATTTTCTCAAGTCACTGAGAATCGGTGGTTATATTAATGTGTTTATTTCTCTTAGTCTAGTGATAAGGTGAGTAATTAAATTCAACTTGTCTGGAAAAAGTAGAAGTAGCATATATCAGAAAATTCAGTTAGAGGAAATTTTTCTAAACTTCAGAAAGATTGAGCCCTGTAAATTGATCTTCTAAAGAAGAAGTAAGATTGAAATATACAAGACAAGACTCTGTTAAAAGTGGCAGTAACCTAGGAAGAAAAATTCTTAAAACTTACTACACTAGGCCCTTCTAAATAGCCCAGGTAGCTTATTAAATACTTGCCTCTACAAAGGCCTCTTATGCAGCAGGTGGTCTAGAGAGAAGTCCCTCCAGAAACAAAGCACCCAGTCTCTCCTGGAGCAGACAGCTCTGGAGAATACCTTGCGGGACTGGCAGGATTGCCTCCTACACTGAGCTGAGAAATACCTGTGTCTTTAAACTGAGAAAGAATTCGGAATCACACAGAATACAAAAATCCAGCTAGCTGCTCTAATGATGACAGAATTTCTCCAGTAGAAGCATGCTTTGTATAAAGATCCTTAACATGTCCTTCTCAGCTCCTTATGGAGTTAGGCTAGAAACTGAAATGAAATTTTCATATAAAAAATGAGAAAGGATAGTGGGCTGTTCATTGTTATTGGTGCCTGCTGCTGTTTCAGCCAAACTTAAAGGAGAGTAAGCAGTCAGCATAATGTTCTATGTATATGTGCTATAAATGTGTATGTACTATAACATAGATCTGTAATTGTACAACTTATTCAGATTTGTGGTCTTGATTGTCAATCTTTGTGTGTACATTAGAACATATTTTCAAAGGCAGAGCCAGTGTTTTATGTGACATTCTTAGCTTCCCTAGCTCCTGCCATACTGCCTAGGACATTTATACTGGATTCTCCAAAAAAAAAAATTTGCCTTGATGTTCTTTCCTCAGAGCTCCTGAATATATTCCTTAAGAAAAATTAACTAATTGCTTTGGTAAAATACAAATGGACTCTAAATAGCTCTTTTATATTTGACCATTTGATGAGTTGATATTTATATAGAAATGCAAATACATGTCTCCTTGTAAGATTAGAGAATTAAATTTAAAGCCTGGAATATAAAAGATAATAGTATTGTCATTAAACAGCCACCAAAGTCATGCATCTTTTTGTTACTATTTTGAGGACTGTTTACTAAAACTGGTTTCAGAATTACAATCTCTAGCATGCCACATTTCAAATTATTTAATACTTGGGAGCAGTGCTATTCTCGTAAGCTAAGGAAAGTCCCTGAATGTGTATGAATGAGAAGCAAGGATTCTGATGTCACAGTTAATATTCTTTATGTGAATTGCTTTCAATACAGATTTCTTCGAACACTTCGCAGTTGGGTGGTGCCGACCCTGTAAAACGCTGTGGAAAGTCTGCACTCTTTCAACTAGCAGAGGCAAGTTTCTAAGAATATACTGAGATAAGCCCTGCAGAGGCAGAAATTGCAAAAAGCCAATCATAACACTATTCCTTAAACTTGTACCATCTCACCTTTGACCATGAAGTGTTTTGTATCTAATTTTCAACAATGAGAGGGTTAACCTTTAATTTAGAGGGGAGAAGAAAGTTGTTTGCTACTGAGAGTCTTTAAGCATTGAAAAAAGGTTACCCAGGGAAATTGCAAAATCTTTTTCAGAGGTGGTATTTTAAAATAAGGTCGATTTTGTCTCTCTCAGATTGGTTAAATAAGTCCAGCATAAACCTAGAAGAATGGCCCAGGTTGTTTTCCTCTTCACTGATTCTCTTATAACATCTATAAATCTCTACAATGAACTACTTTTTTATACCAGGTGGTTGATATTTTAATTTTTGTTGCTTTTAGTGAAGAACTCAAATGGCATGTTGGAAAGTCTGGTTTTATGACACACATCAGTTGCACATGTGATGGGACATGGATTTAAAAATCCTTTGGCAAACTAGAAAATGTGTTTTTCATAAATCCTGTGAGGGACAGAACCCTCCATTGGAGGGGATGGCATGGGGAGGAAGATGCCAGCAGCAGTTTTTAGGGTGGAACGAGAGCAGGGACGTTCTCCGCCAAGCTGTGGCTGCCCTGCCTGAAGGAACATGTGAGAGATCCATCTTTGTCTTTAGCACCAGGACACCATAGTAACAGTTCTTTCTGTTGATGAGACAAATCAGGAGGAACAGAAATGGGTAACCAAAAGTCTCTTACAATATCAAGTTTTTTTTTCTCTTATGTTTCTGGCTTCCTCCACATGAGTTCCCATTGAGGGTTTTTTGTTTTTGTTTTTTGTTTTTTTGAGTGATATAGTTCTTTTGTAGTTTATTAACTTAATGGGATGACCTGTCATTTTTCTAAATGTTATGGTAGCTTGTATCATAAAAATGTAGGAGTTTTAAATATCTTAACATTAAGCTTTTAAAGTCTAACTAAATATATATAGAAGTATAAAAATACAAAGGCCTGAAACAGTAAAGAAAAAACCCAGCCCCCCAAAAATCCAGAATCATCTACTAGAGGGCAGGCCCCTTATTTTACAGGCTTCCCCCGCTAGGTGAGTGTTCTAGGAACCCATTTGTATCAGTGTACCAGCTGATGGTGTGAGAGGCTGTGTTTGGCCCCAGTGAATATGTTTTTAAAGACTCTTTCAACACTTTTGCTCATTTCATGATGGGTGATTTATGATCCCACCTGTCCACACCACACCAAGTGTTCAGTTTTTGACCAAAACCAGCTTGACCTCCCTGCCCCATCCCTCATTCACCCGATCTCACCCGGAGCGACATTCTTTTAGTCCCCCTGGGTAAGGAAAGTCCGGAACATTTTTGCCGATGTAGAAGAGGTAAAACAAAAAACAGCAAAAGCACTAAAAGGCATCAAGATTGATGAGTTCAAAAACTGTTTTGAGCAGTGGAAAAAGGTCTCTATAGATGTGCTACATCACATGGAGAATACTTTGAATGTGACTGAAGTTTAAACGTAAGAATAAATACATAATTTTTATACATAAATTACAGGTTTTTTGGCTCCCTCCTCATAAACAGTAGAACAAACTAACCCATTGTTGTCTGACATTAAGCTGACAGGTGCTTCTTGTGTAAGACAAATCCAGACCCAAACAGAGGTCTAAAAATGACTAGAAAACTTATGAAGACCACAGGGAATAGTTTTAAAACTAACTGGTGAAGTCAGTAGCAAAGTACTACTTCAGGTAGAATTGAAATGGTTAGAATCTGGCAACAAATGTGCCTTTGGAGTTAGAGTTATAAACAAGATTTAGTAAACAGAGAGACTATGGGGCATGAATTTGTCTGACATCTTTAGGACTATGTAGATGGTCAAGACCGTTTATTTAGAAGTGATTATTTTTCTTGAATAATAGGAGTGTGTAGCCCTCTCTTCATTTCTTGGTTGTATGTATATGCACACATATACAAACACCTACATAGGGTTTTTATTTTTTATTTAATTATAGAAGGAAAAAAACCATGAATTTGGAAAGATACATGCACCCCTATGCTCACTGCAGCGCTGTTTACAATAGCCAAGATGTGGAGGCATCCACATCTATTACCTATTGATAGATAAATGGATACATTCGGTCTTTTAATTAAACACTAAATTGTAAAACAACCTAACTTCTGATATTAATATATCTTTATTAAACAGTAGTGTATTTAAAAAGTATGCACTTTTGAGGTACTTTGCTGTGGAGGGGTGACGTTAGAGAAATTAATTTGTCTTATTTTCTTTCTTTTGCATAAGTCATAAAAAAAGGATTTCCTATTAAATCAGAGCTCATTAAAAAGAACACTCTTCTAATTTGTAGGGATGCATCCCAAATATGAAACAGATGCTATGGTATAACAGATGTTTGGATGCTGGTATCATAATTTAAAGGGGTAAAATGACTGCAATAAGCCTATTCCAATTAGAGCAAATCAGCTTATACTCAGACTTAGTTTCTTATAACATCTGAGTAAAAAATATATGCTTTGGATGAAACAAGGTTGCTAAAAAAATAATTTACCAAGGAAATCTTCTCACATTATATCTACCACATGAATATAATGTCAAAATGCTAATAGACTGTGTTTTAGAATAACATCCTAAAGCCTTTCCAGTTTCTAATTAAACATAAATATGTGCACAGTGGATTAATCAGCATCGCCGAATAATCACCAGTAGAAATAAGCTTCCTCAATTTTTTAATCAGATGTGTACCTGCTGCTCATTTTTCTTGAACAAAATATTTATTAATTGTGTCAGGTGCCTCTTTAAATAAGGATAACAGGATTTTGAAGAGTATTTTTTCTGTTGGTCAGAATTGGTGGTATTGTCTGAAATCTGAAGGAACAGCTCCAAATTTGCATATTCCATAGGGAAAGCCTGCAGGAAACCACCTTCAATCTGAGTCAGACCCTGCTCTTGGGATTTATGAAGAGATGGCCTAATTCAGCTACCATCCCATATACTGACTACTGCTGAGGTTTCTCCTCTCATCCCCGCTCTAACCCCCGAGTCATCAATGAGTGGGGCGATATCATAGGCTATCCAGTCATTTAGAATATTTTGGCTTTTTTCTCTGTTTTGAGGAGGAGAGGCAGCTCTCAGAGAACCTCTGGTAAAGATTGGGAGTGGTATTGCAAGAAGTGGCAAGAAGCAAGAAATGTTTTAGATGTAGATTTACTGCTGTCCTCTTCACCTCTCCGAGCAGGCGAAAAAAGAACTGCAAGAAGTTGGCAGCAGGGAGAAACTTGGAATGGCCTGCTGCACTCTGTTTGGCATTGCACAGATGTGTGAGTTTCCAAGGTCAGGTGGACAAACAGAAAGTAGTTCAGCTTGATCAGACTAGTAGAGGCCATGGGACTGAGGAGGGGCTGGCAGAGGGCTAGCCTGGGATAGCAGGGCAGGCTCACACATTAGGAAGTATTCAGTAGAGACCACTTTGCTCAGGACACTCTGGTGAGCTCCCATAAACAGGAGTGATGTTCAGCTGTCCTGGTACTAAATTACTTGGCAGTTAGTACACAGAGTGTGACCCAAATGCCCCGAGTACCCTTACAGCAATGCTACCAGCATCTCTGATCTGTCCAGCAGCTAGATGACACTGCTCAGCCCTGAGACCACACCCCTTCTGACTGGTTTGCACCCCTGTCTATTAAAGACTTTGCATGTCATCCCTGTACTTGGTGTCCCTTGACAAGGTCATTCCATCTTACGTTGAGTTAGTTAGCAGGAACAGACAAGAAAAGACATAACCATGGGCAGTTAGTTCTGTCTCCACCATTTCTTCTATCCTCTAAACCAGAAGCTGTAGGCCATGTGAAAAAAGGGCCAGGAAGCAGCCAACCCAAGAATTAACCACTCACCCTTCCCCAATTCTATTCCTGTAGGCTGGCATGAGAGGAAGTATGAATGGACCTCCCAAAGGCAGAGGTTGTTGCTTACAAGAAATGTCTTCTCCTCAGTGAGAAGCAAGAAATATTGCAGGCCTGTATTTATTGCTGGGCCCTGTGCCCACTCAGGCAGGCAGAAAGAAAATTGGAGACGTTGACAGCAAACACAGAGACTTCGATGGGCCTTTGCTCTCAGTTTTTGGTGTTGTCTGGGCCCCTCTCTATTTCCCTGGACCCTGGACCAAAAGATACCCTGGGGAAAGCCCTGTGAGCACTTGATTGTCATTTTAAACTGGATCAATTGTTAATAGCTGAAAGTGACCTGAAAATTCTGGGATCTGTTCCAGGTGTTTTTCAGGAATTATTCCAATTAGGAAGGGAGATTTGGCATAATGCTGCTGAGGTCAGAGAATTGAAAAAATATAATCCTTTCTGTTTGAACCTCCATGAGGTTCATACTGTTCAGTTAATCAGTTTCTTAATTGGCACAGATACTAGTATAATGTATTGTGTTTCCTTTCATTTTGAAATTAATTAGGTCAGGTCATGTAAAGATCAGCACAGCAACAAAGCATCCCCCAGAGATCATTGTGTATTATAGTTGCAATAGTTGGAAGATACTCAGAGACATCTTTACCTGTACATTTTAGCAAAGAATATTTCTAAACTTGAAGGTCTCTGGTACCAAAATTGCCTAGTATAATAAATGTAACAATTTACTAATTTATTTTAAGGACCAATAATTATTGAGGGTCTACTCCATGCCAGTAACAGTGAGGCTGCTGAAGCTTCCTGCACATGCAATGATGATGAGGAGGAGGTGACCTAGGAGCCTTCTTCTAGGATCAGTGGTACAGGAGGAACGCTTCACCTCTAGGTGCAGTTCTGGTGTTTTGGTGTGCCACTAGGGGCTGGAGCATAAGCCTAAAATTATTACTGTTTGTATTCTAATGTTTCTGAAATAATTTTTTGTGTTCTTTCGTAGATTTGAGATTTTAATTGCAAGTTTTATAATCTATCATTTATTATCTC